TTGAAGAAACTCTTGGATAGCAGATAGCTATTAATATGTTTAATAAAAAAATATATTTATGATTGGATATGACTTATATTTTTGATTGGATATGATCTACAAACGATTTTTATGCACACTGTGCAGCCACCTAAAATTTGAAGGAGCTCTGCAAATATTCCCATAACTTCAAAAAAAATTCTTTTTTAAGCTGAAATTTTTTTTTAAGTAGTTAATAATATTGTATTAATATTGTAAAAAAATTAAAAATTTTTATCAAGTCGTTGCTCTGCAAGAAAATCTAGAAAATACACTCATTTTTCGAGGTTTCAAATGAGTATGCCTCCTTAAAGAGAAAAAAGAAAGGAAATTATATAATAAAAAAATATATATAAAAATATGAAAAAATAAGACGAAAAACAAGAAAAATGAATTTAGATTCAGATAACTTCTAACTTGTTTTACAAGAAGATACATACACGAACGAGGTGTTTTAGCAGTTTCAATTGCTGAGATTTCAGATAATGGTATTTCCTTGTAATATTTAGAACTATTCTCGTTCTGGAATAGCGTTATAGACTTTGTGTCAAGCCGCCAATAATGTTTCTTTCTCTATAAAAATTTATATCATAATTAATGATTAATGAATTTTTAATATGGTTAAAGATAAATAATATAGTTAAAGTTATATATAAAAAAAAATGTTACAATATATACGTTAAATAGTTTACAATATTTTTTTATATTGGCCGAGTATTAATTTAAATAATAAATTGGAAAATGGGGATTAGTTGCTACAGTATTTTTATGAATACTTACAACTGGATCACGATTAGTGAAATGCACCATCCAACCTTCTTTTAATACTTTAGATCCTCGTCTTTTAGTATGTTTTACACTTTGTACTATCCGCATTAATGGAATGTTGTTACTCGGCGTAGAACTACAGCTTTTTTTTTAAATAAAAGGAAGAAAAAGTACACATTATATAAAAATATAATATAAATAGAGCGTTCCGCAAATGCGTGCGGTACATTTAAAAAAATATGTATATGTTCAAAATATAAAAATAAGATTTAAGATTTTCTAAAAACAAAACTGGATATTACATAATAGAAATATACCTTGACGGTCGTGATTTTTGATTTTCATCAGAAGCAGCATCGTCATTACTTTGTACATGATCCTGTAAGTATACAATTTTGTTGTTAGCATTTAAGATCGGCTATTTAAAAAATATCTCTATTTTGATAACAATTGATAACAATTTTAATAAACAGAAAAAATTAATTGCATAGAGGGGGGAGGGGATAACTTACTGTATAATCATCGGGTATCTTATTCTCGTCATTTGTGAACGATACATCTTGCGGCGGAGGTGACGATTCTGTATCACTGTCAGCATCACCTTCTTCATTCCTAATATCACATTTAGTTTCTAGTTCACTGCTGACACCACTATCTGGATATTCACCTATATGCAAGCATTTTCAATCTATTATCTTGTATATAAAACTACAAAATATCTCTAAAATCATAGAAAGCATTTTACCTATATTGTCTCGCAAGTTTTCTCCTGTACAGTCTTTAGGTATTTTATCCATACACTTTTTGTGCGTATTATATTGACAATCTTTACATTGCAGGCCTTGTTTAAATATACCCTTTAATAATTTTTTACAGTGCCCACACACAGTCGGACGTGTATACGTATGTACTACAAAAGTATGCGGAATTTTTATTCGCGTTGCGAGCTCTCTTTCAACCCAAACAGGCCGTCCTCCCAATGACGGTGAAGCAGACTGTTTTGGTGTCATTATACTTGGTATGGCCTACGAGATAGTATATATTTACATACATACATACACACACACAAACAAACACACATACATACACAGCACTTCATAAATAAAAAAGAATAAGAAAAATATCGATTGCATTTATTTGTTTTTCCAAAAATATACATTAAGTAAAAAATCATAGTAAAAAATGATATACTTTTGCTCATACCAATGTACTATTATTTTGGCTTGCGTTAGATGTACTATTTGAACTGTGATTATCATCAGTAATGCTTGTTAGGCTGCTAGTGGAACCTTGACTCGGTGATCTTGGAACATTCAACATAGCTGAACTACGCCGTCTTTGACTTGTATCTTGAGAACAATTATTTGGTACTTTAATGACACATCTCTTATGATAATTCATTCCACAACCTACAAATATACATAAAATAAATCTTATAGTTATTAAATCACAAATATTATGACATCGATATATAATATCTATATGCAAGTTTGCTTTATCTCAAGTATTTATTTATCATAAATTTACCTTCACATTTAAGACCTTGTCGAACAAGCCCAAATAACATTTCACCGCAAAAATCGCAGAATGTTGGAACTTTGTAGGAATGTACTGCTAAAGCATGAGGTCGAATAGGAATGTATTCACTTGGCACTTGTGCTAAAATATTAAAAACAATATTGTTATAATTATATAAATTATATATAATCTGTATATTGTGTCTGTATGCGTGTATAAATAATCAAAACTTGAAAAAGCTGCAACTTGAGGAGCACTGAGGAGTTGAACTTACCAGTCAACACAATTTCAATTAGTGTTTCGTCAATTACTTCTGTAGCATTTGTAATAAGCTGTAAAACATTTGTAGAATTGTAATCATGCTTAAATAAAATTAATCTCTCAAATAGATGATTTAAGCCATGCTCTGGACACTTGGTGTTTATAAAATCACAGGCGAGGTCTTTCAGAGCCTTAAGAGTAAGTGTGCTACTGTCAACTGTGACTGTGTCACGTGTCAGACCAAACTGGAATAAAAATGTAACTTCTATTCCCTCCATGACGCTTTGCGATTCTTTCCTGTAAAAAATATATATAAATTTATAACAATTATATTGTATAATTATATAAAATTGTTTAAAGAATAATAATATATTTTCAAATTTATTTTATTATAATATGATGGACTTGAAATAATTTATCTTCTCCTTAGTATCAAATGTAGAAAAGAATAATAATAATAAGAAAAACAATCACATACAATAAAGAACTCTCAAAAGATAAAATACAATCTTCAATAAAGATTGAACCAAGATATCTAACAGATGTAAAAAAAAAAAAAGAAAAAAAATTTGAAGTATACATATATAATGAAAATTGCGCAAATTGCGAATTATGAATATGCAACAATATGCTAGAATATAAATTTAAAAAATAAGAATATAAATAAATTTTTATTATACTATTTGTGGGCAAGCATAATCATAATTGAGCCATTTATTAGCCTGCCATAATGCCAAAAAGAAGTTTTCATATAAAAGACAGTCTCTTATTTCCGATTTACGCTGGTCGTTTTTCATGCTAGAAAATTATTCATCGCTTTTCGTAAAAACGGCCAAATGACGGACATGCTCCAACAGTCCGAGACAATCTGACGGAGGCGGATAATTTTTTTACGGCGATCTAAAATATCCTCGATGACGCGGCTTACCCGGCAAAAAGAAAATTTCGTAATCGATCTATAATACCTATATATATTTGATACATTGTACTTTGCGTAAATTGTCGTGAAACAAGGCTAGAGAAAACGGCAAGGAAAATTGTGCAGCAATAAAATGCGTGCACACAAAGGATTCCTCGACATACTCTGAATTCTGGAGAGAGAATTGACTCTTTACATACTTGTTCGTGCGCCTGAGATGAGCTCGGACTCAGATGTACAACGCGGCTATTTTCCTTCTTTTCCTTCTTTTTATGACGGCGGCGGCATAATTGACAAAACGGTCGTGAACCAACCAGCCAGCGGTGTCATACCGTAATACATGCACGGCGTCAAGTCCATACCTGACATACATTCGCCGATGACATTTTACAGTTATCTCCAGGTAACCGACCTATCTTGACGTAAACCCTCTGACCGATGTGTGTGCGTCAGCCAGTCCAGTAATCCGCTGTAATTATTTATTTTTCATTTCCGGACCTCTATACCAGCAGCGCCCCGATAGTAAAGAATTAATCGACTTTTTACTGATTGGCTGAGATTATTTTGGCCAAAAATGGCGGAATCAATTAGAGAAAGCTTTCAGGATTCCGTTTCAAAATTTATTCCTTATGTAAAGTAGCATTCGATTCAAATCAATCAGAAAAGAAAAGCAGAAATTTCTTTCTTCCTGATTGGTCAAATTCCAATTTTCAATCTTCGATCTCAACTTCTGAAGGTGCTTTTTGATTCACGCATGATGTGCATAATACATCATTTAACGACAAGGATAAATAATGCATCATGCACATACGTCGGGCTTACGTCTATCTGTCAAACCTCTTGTCAATGAGCCATGGGGTCTATTTTTTACAGCTGAACTGGCTGCACTAGTTCAGAGTCTTCAGAGTTTATCTTTTTCTCTCCACATTGGAAGAAGAAAGATAAGCTCTGAACTAGTGCAACCAGTTCAGCTATAAAGAACAGATCCATGATGATATGAGCAGTTAATGCATTGTCTATGGATTTTATATATCTATGGTGTGATGCCATATGCCATATGAAGTTTAACTCGCGGATGCACATGTGCTGGATTAATCTTTATTAAAGTGAAAAGTTTAGAAAAAGCGCGCAATAATGGTACTGTCGCTAACAATTGATTCCAAGTCTCCTGAGATAGGTATAATGCATTTTTACATTTAATTTCTAACATTTTTAATTCTAAAGTAGAGAGAAAGAGAGAGATAGAGAAAGCAAGGAAGGCAGGTTAATGTATTCTTGATGTGAATATTTATATTTTTTTTCTTTTTTCTCAGGCTTCTATGAGTTTTTTTCACCATTTACTTTGCTTCAATATTATATATTTTTATAATTTCTAGTTTTCACTCTTATTGTATATCTGTTCGAAATATTGTCGTGTATCTCGAACAATTCGTCTCATATTTTATTAACATTAAAGACATTTTTTTCAATCGTAATATTTTATTGAATTTGAAAAAACATTGTTGAGTATTTATACACCTGATAAGATATAAAATATCGTACATTTTATGAAAAAGAATAAATTTCTTCATAATTTTATTATATATTTATTTTCTATTGTTTCATAAGCACAGTATATAATGTTATTTGTTATAGGAATACATCCGTTCTTAACATTTTTATATAAACTTAAGAAATTTTCTGAAATACTTGGAAAATATAAATATGAGATAAACTATGCTAAAACATACAATCAACTACACATAATTACAACTGCACGACATTAACCTGCCATCAATTGTACTCGGATATTCGGGTATATATTTTAAAATATAATATGAATTGTTTCACATGTACCTAAATTGATATTGTTATTTGAAATATATTTCTTATAGGATAAGTTAATAGACAGTATATGGATGTAATAACTACTTGTTACTTCTGTACTAATATTATATTATATAGTATTGTGATATGAAAGATGTAAAAATTATGATCACTTATATTTTAACTCTTTCATATAGAATTGCTGATAGTGACTGAGATAATTCGAACCGAGAATGAGACAGATATAGATATAACATGGAAAGATTTAACGGGAGATTATTCTTCCTTATATGATAATCATACATTATTAGCACAATGTAGTTACGGGATTAATCGATATTTTGCAAGAACAATAAATACTACACTTTATGGTAAGTATTTGCAATTATTTTTGTGTAGCATGTCAATTGTTGAAGCAAAAATCTAATTGTTAATATTAATGTTATTTCTTTTTAATAAAAAGTTTATGTTATACATTGAGCTAAGATATACTTTGGTTAAAAATATATAATTTATTATTTTATATTATACATCAGGTGGTATCTTCCCTCTTGAAAAAACACAAGTCGATCATTGGATGTCGTTTGCCATTGAAAAATTGGCTGATATATCAAAGATGAAGGATAATTTGAATTATCTCGATCATATATTATTAACGCGCACATGGCTAGTCAACAAAAGTTTAACATTGGCCGATATTCACGTATTTTGCGCTTTGCTAAGCCAACAATATATAAAACATTATGGAAAAAGTTATGATAACATTACTAGATGGTATAAGCATATGGAATCACTTCGTTTTGTTAAGAACGCCTTGTTACTCGTGGGAAAGTCTACATCTTCTCAAGCAAAAGATATAATACCTGAAAAAAAAGAACCTATTGCTAAAGAAACAAAGACAAAGAAACAGGAGGGTAAATTTATTGATTTACCTGGAGCTGAGATGGGCAAAGTAAAATCATATAATAAAATCACGTAAATTAATATAATCTTTAAAAATTTTGTAATAACTTGTAAAACACATTTGACACTTACTTTTTGTAGGTAGTGGTAAGATTTCCACCTGAAGCAAGTGGTTATCTTCATATTGGTCATGCCAAAGCGGCTCTCTTAAATCAGTATTATGCCGAGACTTTTCAAGGAGAACTCATCATGAGATTTGATGACACAAATCCTGCAAAGGAAACTGTAGAATTTGAAGAAGCTATATTGCAAGATTTAAAATTGCTACAAATTAAACCCCATAGGTTTACGCATACCTCAGATCATTTTGAGATATTAGAAGAATATTGTACTAAACTAATTCAAAATGGTATGGCATTTGTGGATGATACCCCAGCGCATATTATGAAGGAGCAACGCGATCAAAGACAAAAATCTAGAAACAGAACTAACTGTAAGTAACCATTTTGGCGAGAAGAACTTTTTTTTACATGTGTCATTAATTTTCTTTGACAATGTTTTAAATGATTGCTTGTTTCTGTCCTACTTTTGTAGGTATTGATACAAATCATCTGTTGTGGAATGAGATGAGACGTGGTACCCCGCGTGGTCTAGAATGTTGCGTTAGAGCAAAGATAGATTACGAGTCAACAAATGGATGCATGCGCGATCCTACAATTTATCGTTGCAAACTAGAATCTCATCCACGTACCGGAAGCAAGTACAAGTGTGTATATGTTTCTTGATATTTTTTTAGCAAAAATTTATTATATTTCGTCTATGGGAAGCATGTGCTAGTGATGGCACAACTAAACATTGATTGCTAACTTGAAGATATATTTTATCTCTCTTATCTATATTGGGTATTTTATTTATTGACTTTTTTGATGGGTTAGAGCTTTATTTTCAAATCATATATATTAATAAAATATTTTTATGTTATTATTTGTTGAGATGGCTTTAATAAATATGTTATAAATTAATTTATATTAATTTTACATTTATA